GAATTGGATGTGTTAAGTGTTATTAAATAAATATATATAATATTATAAATAAATTCTTAAGTAAAAAAAATTAATTATATAATAATATATGATATTGTAAATTTACAATGTTAATTATATCATTTTCCTTATAAGATCAGATAAATAGGGGGAAAAAAATTGTAGACTTCTAAATTAGCCGAATACAATTAATCTCTGACCTTACAAAGTAAGGACGAAGTCAAGAGAGAGTTCAAGGCTTAAACTCTGGCACCAAGGTGCCATCCTTCCATAACTTCTAAATATCAAGCTATGTACATAATACTTGAGCCGAAAGACAAAAATGGAGAAAGGGACCACGGCTTGCTCCACAATCAGTTGTCTTCTTCAATGACCGAATGTGATTCCAAGCAGGTCCTCCGTGTATCATAATACTTAGGAAAATTAAAGGATTGGTTAAAGAAAGTGAAAAGGAGAACATTGCATTGTCTCAGCATTTGAAGCCGGGTCGCCTTCTAGGATCAGACAATCTCAGCTGACAGGTTATCACTATTGTTATGATGCATCTGTTTTTGGACAGCCTTCACAGCTGCAACTCTGGCAGCATTGGCTGCTTTGTTTGCCGCAGCTACAACTCTGTTCACCCTCTCATCAATCTTTGCCACTTCATAAGCTTTCTCAGCAGCTCGCCGGGCTTCCTGTACCAGACAGTAAACAATAGGGGAGGTTAGAGGTCTTCCTTGGTGTTGCAGAAAAATAAACATGGTAGAACAATTGCCTTTCAAAAAAAAGGGAAAAAATACATAGTTCAACAATTCAGGCTGAATCCAGGTAAAGGAATCTGATAGTCTTACAGGGCTTGCTAGTTATTTTTCAGAGACATGTAATGACCGTCGGGAAAACCAAGTAGAGATGGAAGGCAATAATACCTGGACAGCATCAAGGATTTTGGAGTGGCTGACAGGATATACAGATCCAAGATGTGTATTTTGTGAGCTAGGAAGATCAAGACTCCCATTTTGCCAGTGACCACATTGTGTCTCGCCATTTCTAGTGTACATACCAAGCCCCTGCCTTCTTCCCTCATGCCAAGCTCCCTCATACTGGTGCCCATTACCAAATTGATAACCACCATAGCCATGCATCTTATCTGCAAAGTATTCCCCAGCATATGTGTCTCCATTTCTGCATTGCCAATAGCAGATTTCACCAGTCAATAAAATTGGATTTTACATCTCCATGACTAAGTTTGAAGTTACAAAAATCAATTCAGAAAGAAGTAGATTATGTCCAGAAGTAGTTTTTAATAGGGATAACTTCTCATCAACAAGTTGGAATTCTAGATTTTTGCATATCACAAAGAAGACAAAAAGCTCATCTATAACTGCTTTCCACCATCGCCCCCATTACATATCAGGAAAAAGGAAATCAGGGGAAAATAAACCTTTAACTGTTGAAGATATAGTATTGAGTTTCTGCTATGTAATATTTCTCCAAAATACAAATAGAAAACGACATCTCACAAACCAGTTTGTGGTCACTAGTCAGATATAGACAAATAAGCATGGCAGCATTGAGATTTAATTGTTCAAAAGGATAACAGCAAACAAGAATAGTGCAAATAAATCCTGACACCTGCCTCTACTAGTGCCAAAAGAATAAGAGAACATATTAGGCAAGAAAAAGGCTAAGGCAAATAAGTCACCAATGACTAGAAGGCCAAGAACCAAGGTGCCTTACACGTGTGCCACACACATGTGAGAATGGATAAGTGTAGTTACAGTAAACCAACAACTAAATCAATCACAAACATATACTGAGGTCTCAAATGATGTAGCTATCCAAAATATAAAATCTACACTTCAATGGAGTTGCCAGCTAACTGGTCGTGCCAACTATGGCCAAAGCAACAGCACATTGACAGAGTTTCAGTAATCTAGAATAAGAGCTTTGTTCTTTAATTGAATTAAAGAATTTCAAGACTTGATACTCAACAATCAAAGACCAAAAAAATAAAAAATAACAAAATCATGGGTTTTAAATCACATCTTTAAAGATGTATAACCACAACAACAACCAACACCATACAAGTAAAGAAACTGTACAATGAATTGACTCAAGTAATCAAAACAAATAAAGTGCAGTGAAGCTATTTAAAGAACAAAGATCAAGAATTCACCCGAAATGGTAATAAAAAAAACTCAAATTAAAATATATGTACTGCAAATCAAATAAGTTAGGGCACTAAAGCTATTCCAAGAACAAAGATAAGAATTATCACCTGAAATGGTAATGACCAAGGCCATGCTTAACACCCCACTTGAACTCCCCTACATACCTACTACCATCCTCACAAGTATGCACTCCACACCCATGACACTGCCCATTAGACCACTCCCCAGCATAAACATCACCAGTGTAAAACCTATACACTCCAATTCCGTGCCTCAAACCCTGCCTATACTGGCCACGATATCGGCTCCCTCTAGCCCATGTTTCTACACCATGACCATCATATTTCCCATCAACCCAATCCCCCTCATACCTCCCCTTCATATGGTAGTAGTAAACCCCACTCCCCGAAAATTTCCCTTTATGAAACTCCCCCTCATATACATCCCCATTGCTGTAGACCTGCACCCAATATCCCGAATTCACCTTCCTTTCCGATTTTGGCTTCGCCCCAATTGACCAAACCACAGGTCTTGAAGATTTTGAGGATGAACCACCAAACGAGCTGAATTTACTCGGCAATGAACGAGCAAGCAGTAACCGAATCGAGGGAAGGCGAGGGAGCCCAAGATTCAGAGAAATTAAAAGGGTAAGAGAGAAAGCGAGTAAGAAAAGGAAATTAAGGACAAAGAAGCGACCAGGATTGGACACAAGAAAGTAAATCGAAGCCAGTGAGAACAGAAAAAGAAAGCGCAGTTGGAAACAAATCAAACGGGCACCGCTCAAATGACGAATCAGAGTGCCAGCAACTCGTTGTGCATCAAATGGAATAGCAAAATACCCGGAACAAGAAAAGGGTTGCGAAAAGGAAGAATCTTTATGGCGATGGTGGCCATGGTTCTTAAAAGAAGAAAGAGTTGGGGACTTAGCCAGGGTTTGGGTCATCACAGACCTCTTGTGGGGTGTGGAGAGAAGGGCATGTGCCGAGGAATCGGAGAAGGTTTCATGATGACTGTGGGTTGGAATCGATGGTGGGTTGGGTGGAATTTGGATGGTGAGATGGGGTTTGTTGGGAAGGGAGAAAGCAAACCCTTGTGGGGTTGATGATTGAGAGAAGTTTCCCTTTCCTCCTAGGGTATGGATTTGGTGTAGAGGAAAAAGAGGAGGTGGGTTTGGACGTAAATCGGAAAAGAAGCAATCCCTTGTGCTGCTTTCCCCTCCGATCTTGATCACTTGTTCTGCAGATTTCTTCTGATGCATTAAATGCCCCCCAATATCTTCTCTGCACTGATCTTAACCTCCCCTTGTGGGTTGTATTATAAGTATATGTGGAGGAAACAGTAGAAGTGTCGATTTCTGAATTCAGAGGAATTTAGAGCGAATCTGTGTGTTTGAAATGGTCGGTTTTGGACGTTGGTTTGGATGCCTAGTTGTTTTACGGGGACACTGCCGGAGCAGGTAGATGGAAGGAAACTGCTTTATTTTGCGGGGTTGACGGAAACTCCTTGCTACATGTCCCTTTTTTTTGTTAAATTTTCCTAAATGCCACTGCTTCAGACATTTTTTATTTAATTCTTTTTTTAAATTAAAAAAAAAAAAAAAAAGGCAATCTAATATGGTTATTCATCCTATTTCGATTTCAATTCATTATCAATATTTGTGAATAATTTTTTTTATAAATTTTTTAGTTTAAGAGTAAATGATGTATTTTTTAAGTAAATTGAAAAAAAAGAGTTAATTTTAAAATGTATATAAATTAAATCAAAAATACCTTAACTACTAAATAAAAAATTAATAATTGTGGCATGGTTAATTATGACCATAAAATATCAAATTTAAGGTATGATTATGAGTATTTTTAAATGCCATTTTGATTTCTAATTAATAAAAAAAAATCGGTTTAAATAAATTTTACTTAGAATTGTGTTTGCCTCTCTAAACTTGAAATGTCATCTCCCCCATTATGAATAAGCAACCATGAAGGGGGAGTGAGTGAGAGCATTATAAGTAAGCAACAATTACATTTCATCAAGTACATAAATTATATTTTTTTTAATTTAAACTGACATTTAATTAAAGTGATCTAAAATGAAGTTATAAATTCATATTATATTTTAATAAATTATTATTGATTCATTAATAATATTTATAAATAATAAATAATCGTCAATAATTTAAATAATTTAGTGGTAATTCTCTTTCGTTGGAAATAAGAGATTACGAAATCAAGTCACATGACATGCGAGTGAGAAAAGAGATAGGAGAGAGTTATCTCTTATTGTGCAACTAACATAAAAAATAATAATAATAAATAATAAATAACCATACCAGGCTCGAGATATTAAATAGGTTAAAATTTTAATTTGATCCCTTTATTTTGATAAAAAAATATTTTTTAGTCTTTTTACTTAAAAAACTTTTTTTTGGTCTATAAAGTTTGAAATCTAATCTATTTTTTAGTTCCTCCATTAAGTTTTAACATTAAATGATGAAAATTTCAAAAGAGAGATCAAAAAAGAGATTTTTTTCTAAAGTAGATAGCTCAAATTATGGTTATTTTAAACTTATTTTTAGCTCTTTTTTTGTTCTTTTATTTTAAAATTTTTGTCATCTAACATGTTATATGTATATAAAATTTAATGAAAAATCTAAAAAAAGATCAAATTTCAAATTTTAAAGACTAAAAAAAAGTTTATTTAAGTAAAATGACTAAAAAAAACTTTAAACTAAAGTAAAGAGGTTAAAATAGAGATTTAACCTACAATACAGTAGTAGTAAATTAAAGGAGAATTAGAGGACAATAACGGGGAGGAAATAAATGAGCATCGGTATTGGCCATCGAGACCCTAGAGGTGGGCTATAGCCTTTGCTTAGGTGTGACAACAACAACACTCACGGCGATTGATTCATTCAGAGACCCAAAACGTTAGTCCTTTTTTACTTATGGATTTTGAAGTTTTTACCATCTAATATGTTATATATAAAATTAAATAGGAAAACTAAAAATATGTTATATATAAAATTAAATAGGAAAACTAAAAGCACATACTCTTGAGGCCCAGTGGTATTAGCTACTAGTGTATTTCCCTCGGATAGGGTTCAAAACCTGTTATTGCAAAATATGTTTAAAAAAAAAAAGGAAAACTAAAAATATGTTGAATTTTAAAATTTAAAGATTAGAAACAAGTTTTTTAAATAAAAAGGCTAAAAATAAATTGTTAACCACAATAAAAATATCAAAATAAAATTTTAATTTATTAAATATCAATACAATAATAGTAAATTAAAGGAGAATTAGAGGGTAATAACGGAGGAAATAAATGAGCATTGGTATTAACCATCGAGAGCCCAGAGGTGGGCTACAGCCTTTGCTTAGGTGTAACGACAACGATACTACAAAACGATTGATTCATTCAGAGACCCAAAAACGGAAGCGCCGGTTACCTATTAAACATCACATTCGCCCACGTGGCTTATCTTTTCTCACTTTCCGATCGAAAAGGGCCAAAAGATGCCATGTTGTTCACAATTTACAGAACTGCCATTTATTTTTCCTTTGGGT